TGTATCTCTCTCACATTGATGTTTCTCTCTCCCCCCGCTTCTCTCTCTGCCTCCCTCTCTTGCCCTCCCTCCCTCCTTCCTCCCTTCCACTCTTTTTGAAAATCAATGAGAAAAATATCCTCGGGTAAAGATTTTTTTTAAAAGTACAAAGTAGTAAATATTTCAAAATACACTGTATAGCAGCAACCACAGATTTTATGAAAAGGATATTAAACCACTACAGAATTTATTTGCTATCTTACAGACAGTCTAAAATAATGCACCTTAACATACTATAAATACATTTTTTAAAAATCTCAAATATGTATATAATTGTCTAGATATAAAGTCAGCCCTGAAATATTTTAAGAACTGTATTAAGAGACTTGGGCTCTCACTAGACATACTGCTCTTTGAGATAAAATGCTATGTGATTTCTTCATTTGTTTATTAAACATATATCCAAATGTAAATCATGAAAACATTAGAAATGAATTCCAAAAGCAAAATTGAAAAGTTAATATATTATAAACCAACTCTGTCGCAGTTAAACAGGTTGGAACACCAATGGTGATGTGAGGGGGTGGCCATCTGTCAGAACATAAAGGACTTTGTTTTTGTACACAAAAACATTGCTCAACCCACAGCTGGTGCCTGTAGCCAAATTCTACGCTCACTGGGACAACTCCCACTAAAATATATTGGCATAAAGAATATGGAAATGAATTTTTAAAAAGCCAGCTGTTTGTTCCCAGGGTATTAGATGTATGAGAGAAATCAGTCAGAATTGAGTCCATTTTTCTACTTCTATTTATTTTTAAAAAGGGACAAACAGGGAGTTTACAACAGGAAAGAATTTGAGTAGGTGTTAGGAGATCAGATTTTTTTCATCTCTCTGTATAATCTTATAAAATTCATTTGAATTCACTTTTTTTCCCTCTTGATATAGTTTTCTTCTCATCTCTCTAACTTCCCAAATCATAACTTGGAAAGTACATCTTAGTTCCTACCTTCTCTTGAAAGCCTTTACTTATTAGTTCAGCTTATTCCTGTTCCTTTCCCACTGTAAACTACTCTACTTAGAAACTTAGCACTGTTTTGTATTGGTTTTAGCAGCTTTGCATCCTTTATTGGTCTTGCATAAATTATACATTTCTTCACAAAAGCAGAAGCAATACTGTTTTCACTCCGAAGTTTTTAGTCCTCTTTTGTAAGTCATAATCCTATTCCTCGCTTCTTTTTTATTAAAACAGATTTGACACAAAGAGATGGTAATATAATAGATATTGTAATTGATAATTATTCATTGAAGGGCTAATCCTCTGATGCTCTCAATTTCTACTATGCTAAAATGGATTGGTTTTTACCAAGAAGTTATTCATATAGCATGACCATCACATTGAAGTCAGGGTCTGATTACCAGAGTACAACCATAAGAAATCCCTATAGCCTGGCTGGTGTGGCTCAGCAGTTGAGCATCGACCCAGGAAACAACAGGTCGCCAGTTTGCTTCGCAGGTCATAGGTTCAATCCCCAGTGGGGACGGTGCAGGAGGCAGCCGATTGATGATGTCCTCTCTCATAGATGCTTCTATCTCTCTATCCCTCTCCCTTCCTCTATCTCTAAAAACCAATAAAAAATGTACTTAAAAAGAAATTCCTATAAAATGTCAAATAGTTCACTCCATAGCATCGAAGTTTCTTACAATACTCACTCTCTTTGCTCAGTATCTGAGATTTTGAAAAAGGCTGTGCCAGCATAATGAATAGGAATAAATAATCTAGATCTAGATTGCAAATGTTTCAATCCCAACTCTTTTGCTTACTGGCTATTACCTTGTAAGTTAAACTAATTATCTAACTTACAACTCTTTTCCTGTACAAGTGAGAATAATAACAATAGTGTTGACCTGATATGGCTGCTCTGAGAAGTTAATTACTACTACATGCAAAGGGGTTGGGATAGTGCCTAGCACATGTTCAATTAATTTTACCTATTATTATTATTCTAAAATATAGATACCCAATATTAAAAGTTTAATAGGTTTCTTTATGAAAATGGAAGAAAATATATCCATTAGAATAAATAATTTCTTCTTTAACCTACCAAAAAAAAACCCGAATACCTCAATCCCTACACATAGCCAAGTCTGGTTGACTTAATCCTCCTCATTTGTGAATCACCAATTCTATTCCTTGCTTTTTTAAAAAAATAAATTCAACTCCTAGGAAGTTATAGAGCTGAATCCATGTGCTAGTCTCAATGTAAGTGGGTACACACACACACACACACACTTCTCACAAAAATCCTTTATGTTGTATATATTAATCTTATTTTACAGATGAAAACACTGAGGCCCACAAAGGTCAAACATCTTAGTAAAGGTTATATAGTTAGTAAGTGGCTAAACCAAGAATGGATCAAAATCTATTAATTTCAGATTCCACTTCCTTTCTACTACACCTCATATATTTTCCTACAATTTCCTTTCTCCTTTAACTCACCTATATATAATTAATAGCAGAACACAACACAGAGAGGTGTTTCCTCATAGTTTACCATATGTTCTTGCCAAAGCACATAGTTCTGCAACTTCCCTTTCTGTTCCTCTAATCTCAGGTCAATTTAACTTCCTTTCTGGTAGTAAGAAATGTGGTGCTTCGAGCTAGATTTAGAGCTCCCATGTCTTCCTTCTAAAAATTGCTTTTAAGTACAGGCTTAGAAGTAAACATTTTTCTATCTCTCCAGAAGTACTCAAAGCAAATGTGTTTGCAGAATCTTATTTTAACAACTAGAGGCCCGGTGCATGGATTTGTGCATGGTGGGGTCCCTTGGCCTGGCTGTGGGGATCAGTCCGAAACCGGCTCTCCGACATCCCCTGAGGGGTCCCGGATTGCGAGAGGGCAGTTTTCGGTTGACGCACCCTGGAATCGGGCTCCCTCCTCTCTAGTTCTGGATGTGTCACCCAAGAACCGCCACTGCCAAGTGACCACAGTTCAGCAGCTCCTGCATTGAGCATCTGCCCCCTGGTGGTGGTCAGTGCACGTCATAGCTACTAGCCGGTCGGTTGCGCATATATA